GCAGGAGGAAACAAAGTATTACGAACGGCAGAGACTTGAACCCTCGCCCTGTCATGCTGCTGAAGAAGAAAAACCCCAAAGATTTCTGATTTAAAAAAAAATTTCTCCAAGATGTTAATTGATTATCAACAAGACTGTCGCTGATTCTGCAGGAAGACAATCACCGACAGCTCCAGTATGACTAACTCTAGCCAACTGTCAGTTTGAAGAAAAGAGTATTTAATGAGTCCTTCATCTTACACTGGGATTAAATCCTGATAATGAAGTTACATGACAATGTTTAACACAGAAGTGTAAGTACTCTGAGCAGCGAGTGTGAAAGCAGCGCTGTTCAGCATGCCACCCAAAGGCGAGTACAGGAGGGCAGCAAGAGGGGAACTGAGCTGACGCTAAGGTCAGAAGCAACCACCATCCTCATTCAGAACAGTCCTATCAGCACCTGGGTTGTGAAGTTTCTTTAAGACTCCTCCTGTTCATTTACTCAGCATGTCCTCTGCTAGCATGTTCCAACATTTACTATTCTCTCAAAAAGAAAACTACTTCTTTGATGCTGAATGTGCTACCTTTCAGCCACTGGGTTGATCCTTTTATGTTTCCATGGATCCACCCAGCTTCTTCTTTTACTTCTTTTTTTGTTTTTGCATCATCACTGATTTGACAGTTTGCATTAAGTCTATTAAATTAAAGCCTCCTAAAAAACTTCTCTGAGTCACTGTTTTCCAAGGCAATGTTCCATTCCCAATTATATCACACTGTACTTGGCTGTATGAAAATAAATCCTGTTTGAGTGGGATATAAGCTCCTCACTGATTGGTATTAGTCCTGTGCGCTCCTCCCTAATTATATTTTACTCTATTCTATATTTCACCAGTAAAAACTGCTATTCTGAGCCTGTGGAAGAGACATAGACTTTGTTTGCCAAATCTGCCCTTTATTTGTCACTATTAAACTCTTAGATCTAGAGTTCCTCATATTTCTGATGTTCTGATAATTGAGACAACTTAACATCTTTATTTCTATCAGCTATGGGTATTACATTAGTTCCCTTGATTTCCCTTATCAGCTGTATACAGCTTTTACTCCCAAATATTTTTCACTCATTTTCATCTACCCCATTATTTATGCATGTTGCATTCTTAGCAGGATTTGCTTGTTGAATGTTCAACACACAGAGATTTTCTCCACTGTGAACTTCAGGACTAATGGCATATGTTAACAACAAGAAAAATATAAATTAACCCAGACTACAATAAAATACATCACACAGTGATGCAGTCCTGTTTTACAAACAGAAAAGACAAATCCAAAGAGAGGCAAAGTGGCTTAATGAGTAAATCTTAAAACTGCCAAACTGGATTCTACCTTCAGCGTGTATGAAAAAATCTGACGACTTGATTAATGAGGAATACAGTGTCAAAGGTTAACAGAAGATTTAACATCAAGTATTAGAAAAAAAATGAGCCTAGAACCCAGTCTCCTGCCAGAAAATGGACTCTTCAAAGGAACAGCCCTAAACAGTATACACAGACCTGCTCCTAGCTCTTCCGTAAGACAGCTGTTATTAAACAGTGTTTGCAACCCAAATACAACTGAGAGACTGACATTGTTAATAAAAATTAATTGCTCATAACCAGTTTTCAAGGGCTCAAACTCAGAAAACCTCAAAAGCTTTTACTGCATAAACAGAATTTTTTATTTTTGTATTATTCATTTATAATATATTTTGCACTCATACTGAAAATTACCTGGAAACTAAAGATATTATCTATGGAAGAAGAAAACAAAACCTAGAATAATAAAACTTGGTCCATGTGGTTAAAAAATAATTAAATGCTTAGGCAATAACCAGCTATCTAATTGCGGTGATTCTCAGTATTTTTTCTCTCAGGAACTATTTTCTGATTAGTAGCTATTCTGAATGCTGGCACAGAAACAGAAAACAGATTTAGCAATTAAAATGCTTAAAAACAAAAAAAAAGAAAAGAAAAGAAAAAAAAAGACATAAACTCAAATATGAACACAAGAGTTTCCTGCAGACATCTTATTCGGCTCAACTGCTCTTAAAAGCATGCTTCACATGGCATGTTTGACACTGCTCAGCTCCATCCACCCAAATTAACAACTCTCTATGTCAGAATAATTAGTTATATACCTCTTAATAGCTTTGTCGACAGAACTGAATGTGGAGTGCTAACTGCCTGCTTTTCAAAGGTTACTATTAATGCAAAATACTCAACATTTCACACTTGTTTCATGGAAAAAATGCTTCCATTCTCCTGCAAACACAACAAAATATCCATATCTGGATTTTCACGGGCTACGGATGAGATTTAAATCTTATGCCTGAGCACCGTGCTGCTGCAATGACTTGGGCAGGAGGCTGGATGAAGGTTTAGGCACAGGTTCAGGATCTTGCCCTGGGTGTAACATAATGATAACAGCATCTAAAATTTCATCTTAAAGAGGTCTCTAGGCTCTTAGTAAAATAATTAAATGCAAGTTGTGCACATTTTGAAAGCATCAAAACTAAAGAAACAAAGCCCTTCAGTAGTGAGGAACAGAATATACACAACTCTTTCTAGTCTTTGCCTACAAAGGACTACCACTTGTCATTTAGCTAAGAAAAGAAGTGTCAGTTTAAGGCTCTATAATTATATTGCTATAATTCTATCAGGTATCACACCAGGGTATCAGAAATATCCTTCTGTAGAAAACCCACAGCAGAAGTTTCTAGGTGGGGTTATATACATGTTACTCTCTTCCTGTATTTATGAGAACTGAATTGGCTGTTTATGTTGAAACCCTTCTTCATGGGGCTTTGACACATGCACAGATTTGTTCTGTTGCATCTGTCTTCTCAGGAAGAAATCCAGCCTGCCTTAAGACAAGGACTGGCAATACAGGCAAAGGCTCTGACTGACTAGCATAGAAATGCCGAGCACTTCCATCAAGCCAAAGGCAGCCTTCACACATGGTCCCAGCTACCGCCATACCAGAGCCAAGCATGGCTGGGTCAGTGACGGACCAGGAACAAGACCCTGTATGGGAATGAACCTGGGTTCTTGTTCTCAGAAGCCCACTTTAATAGTCTTTAAGCGACATTTTATTGATAACTTTAATGTAATGTAAAAATCCTCTTGATCTTGAACCTTTTCAACCCTTACCCCGCATGGGGTGAATTACTACTGCTCAGCTTCTTGACGGTAACTGCTGACACACAGGCTCTTATCTCACATAACGTTCAGTCCTTTCTATTCTCTGGAGGGCAAGTTGACGGTAGTCCAATGCTTCAATAATACTGCAGTGGTCGGATGGGGCTTTTAGAAACTTGGTCTAGTGAAAGGTGTCCCTGCCTGTAGCACAGCGGCTGGAACTAGATGATCTTTAAGATCCCTTCCAACCCAAACTGTTCTATGACTCTGTGAATTCAGAAGAACCCATATATACCAGTGGTCCCCACTGAACTCAACACAGGTGGAAACCCAAAGAGTTCCTGCTAAAGGAATTTTGTAGTATGCTTAGTGGGACAGGAAAGTAAGCTCCTAAGGCAGACCCAGATCTTCGTTCTGTTCAGAAGAGAGTACTGTCTCAGAAGAGACAGACTATAGCAGGAAATGCTCCTCTTTGACAGCATAAGGCAAAACAGCCATGCAAGGATTAACAGCTGCTTGCCTGCAACACAAACCACCAATATAGCTAAGGAAAAAAAGATTACTCTTTTTCATCAGGAATGGAGAAAACCCCTTAGAAATCGTCAGAAACTGTGACCAGCATAATATTACAAAATTATTTTTATATAATTCTATCCTGTATTTTAAAGAATAAGCAGCTCTCCTGGAGGTAGCTCAGGAATACACATCAGGTTCTTTCCTGGGCTAATGAGAGAGATAGTTTGCATGCTTACAGTGACTTTCATTTGACCTGATGTAGTTTAGCTGTGACTGTATTAAACACGCTTTGCAAGTTAACCAAGCTGAAATATCAAATGTAAGTTTTCTTTCTGGTTAAGAAATTAACACAGTAGCATCTTTCGAAACTGCATCCTTTGTTCAACCAGCAGTAGTTAAACAAAATACACACTTTTGACCTATGTCATTTTTATCTTTAACAGCACAGAGATAGGAATAGCAGCATACCTATTTCCTTTCCAAGTTGTCACTGATGGACAAACCAGGAAATCTCTTTCTACACACCTTTAACTGAATACAGTTTATTCAACCACTTAATTACCAGCTTAGTAAAATCATCATGTTAAAGGCAAACAAAGATGCAGCAAAATTTTTCACTATGAGTGTGGTGTGACACTTGGAACAGGTTGCCCAGAGGAAGCTGTGGCTGCTCCATCCCTGGCAGTGTTCAAGGCCAGGTTGGACAGGGCTTTGAGCAACCTGGTCTAGTGCAAGGTGTCCCTGCCCATGGCGGGGGGGGGGTTGGAACTAGATGTTCCTTAAGGTCCCTTCCAATCCAAACCATTCTATGATTCCTCTGTGCTTTCCTTGAAAAGAGTTACTTTGTCAGCTTTTGCACTAGTATGTGCTCCCATCTCCGGTAACACCAACTCTTTAATGAAAGCAGTAAAGAACACATGTATAGCCTGGACACAGGCGGCCATGGCATTCTACAGTTGAAGTAGCAGGGCATACTGCAAAAAAACCCCCCAGTTTATTTGGGCAAGTGACTAAAGCTGTGGTCTGAGTATGTACAAAAGCGCATGGACTTTACTTACGCAGAGTGTGTAGAAGTTAATAGAAGCAACAGTTGTCACAGGAAGGAGGCCAGGATGATTTTGTTCAGAGAAAGGGAGATGTATTTTAGTCTACCACTGTTTTTTACTTGTTTTATTTTTGAGGATCTGGATATCAGCATAGAACAGGCATACTTTACACATTGGTGAACCCAAGTTTAAAAAAGTAGATATGTAAGAGGAACCCATTTAAAAAAAGTCATCATATATTCCCAATCAGTCAAACATAGGGGTATCCTTTTAGAAGGAAACGTACCTGTTTCAGGACTTGTTTGATTACAGCTGCTAACAATGCTGTTTGGTATCACTGGAGTGGAGGATGCCTGGATTCTTGACTGAGGTGGGTTTGGATGTAATGAATTTCCTAAAGCCATTCCTGACTGACTGAGCATCCCACAGTTCCCACTAGCCTGCATCTGATTTATTAAACCTGCAAGATGGTTGGTTGTGCCTGGGCTAGTACCGTGGACAAAGTTAGTGTTTGTGTTCTGGCAGTGCACACCTTCCCCTCGCAAGGGTAAACTCTGTGCCAGTGAGTTCTGGAGACTGCCAGAGTTCATACTGGTGTCTGCAAAATGTATCTGGTTACCAGAGCAAGGTAAAGCAGTATTTGAGCTCCCACAACTGGTGGTACTATTGCTGCTCATGTGAGAGCTTTGACAACTCATGGACTGAAGTAGCTGGGACATAGAACTGATGGGAAAGGAGCTTTGACTTTGCTTTCTTATCAAATCAGATCCAGCTTTGGAAACTCCAGAACTGTCCAACTGAGACTGTCTTAGCAAACTCAACACCGTGGTGGTTGGCTGCTTTCTTTTTCTCAGAGGATCTTTTTGCTGAGACATCAATTTATCTCTCAGTGCTGCTCGGCCACTTTGCCCTTCAGTCGTTGGTAGAAGCACACTGGCAGCAGGAGGGAACATGGTATTTAAAGTGCTATGTCCTTCGTTGTTGCCTCCACTGGCAACAGGTCCAGAATTGCTACTGCTGTTATTGTTGTTACCAGCAAGTTTATTTTGATTTGCTAGCTGTGCTTTGGCTGCTGCTGAGAGTAAACTGCTTGCTGGAAAAGAGGCAGCATTGTGCTGGTTCAAGATCTGATTTAAAGGCATTCCCAGCAAACCAGGCTGACTCTTCAAGGAACCACTTCCAGCCGATGCAGTAGAAAAAACTGCATTATTTGGAGGATTTAATACATTACTCATTCCAGCAATTAATGGGTTAGGGATGTCCTTGTATTGATTAAGTCCATCATGCTTGGTGGAAGGGCTAGATGGCATAGATGGTCTTGGTGACCCTATTGTTGACCTTGGGGACCTGGGAGGAACTTTAATACCGCTACAGGATGACTGTGGTCCTACTGGAGGCAGCAGGAAATTTCCATGATCTGATGATGTGGAAGAAGAACGTGATCTTTGGGGAGAAGCCTCGATCCTTCCAATCCCAGATCCCATCATATGAACTGGGGATGTCACTGGTGAAGGAGAGAGGGAAGTTGAAGCTGAATGCTGAACTCTTTGAACATGACTTCCATGGTTCATGTGACCAGGTTTTACAGTTGGCAAAGGAAGATTACTTGGCAAAGGGACGACAGCAGGAGGCATGCTTACATTCATCACAGGTACCTGAGAGTGGACATTTGAATGGAAAGTAGTTGGGTTAATGATAACAGGATTCTGATTTACTGGTTTGCTAGGAATAGGGTCAAGTATGCCAAGCGGATCCTTTTCCGATGTTAATGGCTTTTTCTGAAGAGCACAAGAAGGTGGTGGAGGAGGTGGGGGTGGACCTTGGGGTGGTTTATGGTGAAACATTGCTCGTGGTATTTCCATACCAGTTGAAAAATTACACATGGGTTTTTTCATTACTGGGCTTTTCGTGGTCAAGGTTGGGGAAAGAGGTATATTAGTCCTTCCAGCCATTGCACAGGATGACTGTATGGGAGAACCATGTAGCATTACTGATGGTGGAGACAGAGGTGTCCTGTTCATGTGAATAGGACTAGAGTTGGGTGCTCCATGAAAATTGGGATTGTTCCTTGTGAAAACATCAGGGCTTCCAAGTGGGTCAGTCCTAGGAGAGATTGAGCCATCTCCGTATATCTGTGATCCTGATGAAGCTGGACTGGGCATCCCACCGTGACTGCCACGATACGGAGACTTCTGTCCAAGTTCATTACTACCCAATCTCTGCCTAGGATAGACAGAATGAAGTTCTTGTTGCTGGCTTCCAGCCATTTCTTGCACATAAAGCCTACCCATGGCATTAGATGCCCCTATCATCAACTTGAAAGGAGTCTTACATTCTGGCATCACAGAATTTGTAATTCCTTCATGTGATTTATTCCTTATTGATCTTGGAGTTGCTGCTCGAGTAGGAACTACTGGAGTTGCACCTGATATTAAAAACACAACAGTTACTGTTTTGAAATCTGGTATCACACATTTCAGTGAAAAACTGCTGTGTGTGAAAATATTCATAAAAGCTAGAAACCCTTCTGGCTAAACTTTTGCTTCAACAGAAATAATACCTAAATCACCAAGCAGTTGTGGAACGGTGCATGCTACCCTACTATACAGTATAGAGCTTAATTCCCATATAAAGACTGCATAAATATGGACACCTTTACATCTTTTTCCTTCCCTTTTGTCTTTTCTTTCTAACCATCATCTCCGGTGTCCTACTCCTGAATCTCCAGCATTACCACTTTGGCTGCTACTCAAAGAGCTGGCAGGTGGTAGGGAAAAGGAGCCTCTGGCACCATCTATTGAATACAGGAGGAACAAAGCCCAACAAGGGTTTAGACTAATTTCTCTTCACCCTACAGAGAAAAGGGTCCTGCCCTAAATGCTGTCCCTGGTGAGGATGAATGGGAAGCTGTCCCATACGACTTTGGCCCAGATTTGTACTCAGCAAAGGACTTAATTGCAGAGACTGAAGAGACCGTGGCTCTGCAAGGCAGGATGCAGCTTCTCTGGCTGCTCCACATCACCTGCTGGTACCAAGGGCACTGAGTTCCAGTCCTCAGAGTTAATCTGTTCCTGGGAACCGCCTTGCTAAAAAGGTGAGGACGTATGTTATATCGTATCTTGCATTTCTTTACTGAATTACGGCTTTTCCTGCAGTTTCTGCAATTAGCTTTGCTTGAGGTGAAGACACTAAATTTAAGAAGGGACTCGACTCTATACGTTTGTTTTCAGAAGAAAGGCCTTGGGGATATTTGCGTATGCAGACATATGAACCCCTCTACAGTAGAAAAAATTCCTGTAAATCCCAGTTTTGAGACTAGACCTTCCTACAACCAGAAGACCACTATCGTTTCCTGCCCACTAGTATCAGTGTTATTTAAAAAGATTTTTTTCCCCAACATTTTACTTTAAGAACACCATCACAAGCAGCTCCAAGCCTGGTGGACTTTCTGCCAGGTTTTGCTGCTCTGGGAATTTGTAATTTGGTTTGGAGTACTTGGCATGCAGCCTCTGAATATGCAAACTTAAACTTGAATAACCAGTTGAAGATTTCATGTTCAAGTGAATTCAGAGGTGCCTTTAAATTCCTCTACTCTCAAGAATCCAATTCCCTTCTTTCCTTCAGACTGGCCATAGAGGACAGATGGCACTGACAATCCTCCCTTCATCCTGTTTGCTCAACCAGATACATCATGACAGAAACAAACATACTAACTTTCCCAAAATACAACCAATCTCTTTTAGGGGACAAACTTCAAGACTGAACTGCAAAACAAAATATGTATGAGAACCTTCACCTTGAATGCTGGACCTAAGCATATGGACAAAAGTAAGTGTGCATAAATGAAGAGACATTTTGTTTCAAAAGCCGATTTATAGGGAAATTTCCTTCATTGCTTAGTTCGCAAGATTCTGATCAACAGAGAAAGACCATATAAATGCGACCCATGTCTTTAATATATAGCTGGGTTTACCTCCTTAATTTTGCTAACTTAAAAAAAAAAAGTAATTTAAGTATGACTCAAAGAATAAAAAAAATAAAGAAAGTGCACAGTAATTTGGAAAACTGCACTGATAGTTAAAAAAATGCACTGCAAAGAACAATTTAAACAAAGTTTTAAAACAAAAAATAGCAATCTGAAAATGCAAGAGCACATCAGTACTACAAGCAGCACTGGTTTCTTAGCATTGTCTCTGTATCTGAAATATATTATTTATTTTTATGCTCTTAAAATTTTCCACTTCGAAGTCAAGCTACAAAGCGGCGAGCAATTAGCCAGCTATTACTACAGCAATATAGGGGTGCAAAAGAACTGTCAGATTATCATGGACCATTTCCCAGAAGTTGTGTGTATCAGAGTATATAACCATAAACTTTCCAAGATCTGTCTTAAAAGTAACCTTCGCACCTTTGTCCTAACCATTTGGATTTGTAAGACTACTTCAGAACCTTTTCTTGTAATCCTTATAAAGTACCTAATTTTCAGTTGAAGTTTCTATGCAACTCTGGTTTTGTAGCTATTTCTTTCAGTGCTAACTTTGTCTGTTAGCTTAAGTAGCTTTATTTCTGAAGTGATTCTCCTGATGCTGTTATTGACAGGAACCATATCTCCTTTCAGCCACCACTTTGCTACGTTGAACAAGCTAAACACTTTTAGATGACTTCCATAAACAGGTTTTGCAGTTCACTAAGAGCAAAGCCTCTGCTCTATTTCAGTTTGAGTGCCACTACCAAGAACAGCAGTGCAGGAAGGCAGTACACATCCAACAGCATTTGTACTTCTCTTCGAGTCACATTGATCTGCACTATACTGCCATCTGGTACTGCTCACAGGCATCTTTGATCAGCTACTATACCTAGGTCTTCTTTCTCAATAATTTACAGCTAATAGTTTTTTTCACTAGTCCCCAGGTGAATAACCTTACAATTAACAGGATTTGTTGCTATACCTTTTCTTTTCACTCCAGGTCTCTATGATCCCCCAGTTTTTCAACATGTTTTGATCTTCTCCTGTTTTGACAATACCTGTCAACTTCATCCCTCAACAAATTGCCTCATTTTTTGTTGATACAGATAATTAAGATGCTAATCCAGGTTGGTCCCCCAAAATAATCCTTCAGAAATTACAGTGGCGATCTTCTCTTACTGTATGTTCTGCCTTGCAGTACAATTTCCCATTTAGTCAAGTCCTTAGCCACATTCTAATCCCTTTATAATCACTTTATTCTGCTTCTCTAATTTCCCATGTGACAGAATATCAGACATATTACAACAGTTCCAAAATATGAGAGCTAATGTATTTTCTTTGTCTAGAACAATCTGATATCTTTTCCAAGAAAACCATGCTCTTAAGTCTGGGCTGACCTGCTTTTTAGACTCATTTTCTAACCACCTACGTCCCTCTAATTACTACCTCAATTTTTAACATGAGTCTGTTTACTATTTCACTCATAGATACATTAGACTTTAGGAGGTGGTTCTGCACAGTAATTACATATATTTAAAATCAACTAATTTAATGATTCCGCATGGTTTTACTTACTTGTTCCACCACCAGGACTAGTTAAAACTAGTGAAGGATGTGGTGCTTCCATGCTTTTATGAAGTGTAGCCACAGCAATAATTTTCCTTTTATGTATGCATAGTTTGGTGACATCTTCATCTGCCTTAACATCTTCAGCAGTTCTTTGCTTCACAGCAGCTCCAGGATCAAAATTAAAGACCTGAGAGTAAAAATTCCAAGGTTTAAAATACTCATTAGACGTAGCAAACTCACCAAGTATAGCTAAACCAAAAATTTTACACAGAATTAAATTTGCCATTGTTCTGTAGAGCTATCTGACTGCTCCTACACTGCCCAAGAGACAACTTTATAGTGCATTTCAAGATTATAAATAAAAAGTGAATATAAGTAAGCAAGCAGAGTCATGGAAGTTGTCATCTAGCAACAGAACTTTAACACTCCTCAGGATAAAGAGTATGGAAGAAAAGAGAAGGGACCATGCGGGTGTGAGACTGCTCTGTGATTAAGAAGAAAAGTTTACAATTTGTATATAGAATATAAAATTGTGAAGCTGATACTGAAGCTATCACGTAAGTCAGTGTTTTACTCTGATTCTCTGTGTTAACATGATGCTGCTGACGGTAGGTTTCCAGTTTAATAGTAAAATCTTCAAACACCAGAAAACTTGAGTCAGATGTTTTCCATGAGGGAAAAAAGGCAGAGGGGAGATTAATTTTTGGTAAATTTTATGGTAAATCTTTGGGTATATACCATTCATCTCATTTCATATATATAATCTGAACAAAGACTAAGTCATGGCATAGCACATCAACTGACATAGCTCGTAAGGATTATAGTAGAGATCCATAATGATGTTTCTCTTTACCTTGGGAAGAACAAGAGGACATTCTAGGCCACACTTGCATGTTCCATCACTCAGCAAGTAAGTCTTCACCTGCTCCAAGCAGGATAACAAAGACCCACTGGGACTGTAAAGGAATAGAAATGATGAATATAAGCTATTTGATACATCATGACTTCTACTTACCATCCTAACAGCTCACATACAGAGCTGTGTTTATGATAATGCAGCTAAGATTTTGTATGTTTTTTATAGTACTTGTTGCTTTTAGTCAAGAACTGAGATGATACTTACCAAAACAGCCCCCCAAAACCACATTTTAAAGGAAGATTTTACTACAGAAAACCAAACACAGCAAATGCAGAAAAAAAAGAAACTCAGATTATTGATATTTAATATTCACACTAAAGCCCTGCTTGAAAGCCTTAACTACTGCTTAACTACACTAAGGTTACTTTTCTCCCTCCTCTCTCCTACTAAGCATAACACAGGCAGCGTGCAGTCCCCATGGACCTCCTTCCGTTCTATCACACCACTGCAGTTCCATGAAGGCATGACACTCATCTGTATTTTTTAGGACTGGGACCTCGTTTAAAAAGAAAAAAAGCACAAAAGTGTGTTTCAAGAAGTATGAGAAAAGACATACAGAACACAGTAACAACACCTGTTGTGGTCGTGTCTCTTAGTTGCATAAACAGTTTGATTTCATTCAGCTAAAATTTCAACCCTCTCACTGAAAGTGAGAAATACTATACCAAGAAGCCAGTCCAGTGAGTTTCTGATAAACTGCACTTGGATTTCGCTAACTCCCACCAGAAAATCATTATCTTCACATCCAAAAATAGGACACTGGAAATTCTGTTATGGCAAAATCACTAATTCATAAGATGAAAAAAGTTCTCATATCACAAGCCTCTAACTTCCAGATTGCTCTTTATTACTTGGTCATCTAAGCTGTTTATCAGGGAAAGAATACAGTAATACATGAGGATAGCTAAAACACTGGTTCTTAATGGAAGCTGTAAATAGCTCTTATTTTAACAAAAACAACTTCAGTGGAATGGTTTGGATCATGAAAAAAGAGTCAAAATTCCAAACTATGACAAACTTTCTTAAAACCCAATATATAAACACCTAATTCTGCCTAAGAACTAAGTCACATGTAAAGCAACATCTGCAAGTGACATTTAAAGTTATGACAACAGTTCAAATAAGTAATTTATTTGCCTGACTTTACAGGCAAATAAACTGACTTGAAATATTTATTTCAGAGAGAACTGCCCAGGTCAATGTGTAATAATGACAGTTCTGTGGGTAAGCAAGATAAGGCTAAGCTGGATAAGGCTTTGAGCAACCTGGTCCAGTGGAAGAAGGTGTCCCTGACAGTAGAAGAGGGGTTGGAACTGGATGATCTTCAAGGTGCCTTCCACCCCAAACCATTCTACGATTCTACAGTAAAAGAGCAATCTAAAAATAATGCTACAGATATGAAGCAATAGGTCAGAAAGTCACCTTCCCAGTCTTAAGCTGAAATACTTGGGGAGCAGGGGGAAATAACTTTTTATTTTTCTGTATTTTCATTTCAGCTACAAACTAGTTAAACCGCGATGCTACCATTATCATATTTTAACTCAGTGAGTGTCATTTGTTCTCCACAGGTCTGCATTTCCAGCACTGGCTGATCACTTAGGGCCTTCCCAGCCTGCCCTGACTATACACACAGGAGCAACTGCTCACCCTAGGCAAGGTCCACGCTTGAAGATGTAACAGCTTTCCATGGGAGAAACTCAGATTGGCATTTGCTCTACACTATCCCATCTACATGCAAAATCTTTACAGATACTTTCTGTGACACTCAAAAAACTCATGTTAAAAGGTGTCCCTGGGAATATGCTCTGGAGTCAGGATGGCATTTTATTTGCATTGGTGTAACAGGATGACTGAGCAGCAAGAGCAAAGCTACACCATCAGAGTTCATTTTGCCCCCCTCTATTCCTAGAGTAAAGCAATTTTAAATATCCTTCATTTGTGTGTGGTTTGCCTAGGCACACATTCAATGCCCTGACCATCAGTGGGTGGAAGGGAAAGTTGGGATACGTACCCTTACCAGAAGAGCACAGATCAGACCAGCCCACTAAATCTGTGGCATGTGGGATTCAGCATTCCTACTGTACATATACCATAGAATGGTTTGGGTTGGAAGGGACCTTAAAGCTCATTCTAGTTCCAACTCCCCTGCCATGGGCAGGGACACCTTCCACTAGACCAGGTTGCTCAAAGCCCCATCCAACGTGGCCTTGAACACTGCCAGGGATGGGGCAGCCACAGCTTCTCTGGGCAACCTGTGCCAGAGCCTTAACACCCTCACAGGGAAGAATTTCTTCCTAATATCTCATCTAAATCTATCCCCTTTCAGTTGAAAGCCATGCATATATGTGTGGTTATTTGTTCACAAGAATCAACAAAATTTTAGAAAGGCCTTGTTCCGGGAGAGACCTATGTAATCGCAAAGTATCTTCTGCGTGCATAAATTTCCTCACGCCCCTATACTGGAAGGGGTAATCCATAGCTTCCCTTGTAAGAAACAGCTTTTTTCAGAGTTTAGGTAATCCAGAAGTTTTAGGCCTCCCAAAAACCCAAGAAAGAGCAAATGATAAGATATATTAGGATCTGTTACTGGCAGTTGTGGTATCTGTTCCTGTTATTAAAGTGCTTTTCTCAGTTTATTCCACCGATGACCTCATGAACAGTAAGCTGAAGAAAAGATTTAGGTGCTACTTTAAGGCAGCAGCACTGTTTTACGTAGAATATCACGGAGACTCAATTCAGTGCTTTTATCAGGTAATCAAAACTAGTTAATTAATGGGTATAATCCAAAGCAACTGTTGACAGTTGATAGAAAAGTGTGCACGCTTTATAAGGAAGCATAACTAGAATGAGTGCCTATTCAGCTGAGATCATCTATTTTAGTTAAAGCATGTCAGATCTTAATAGATAGACTAATTTTCCCCTGGACAGCTTTTGAGCCAATATTGTTTGGCCTTTCATTCTTTCAATAAATGCTGTGCATATTTTCAGGGTGGCTGTTCCTTCAGAAGCAGCACTGGAGCACGTTACCCCGAGAGGCAGTGGAAACCGAATCCACGAAGATGCAGCTGGTGAAACCAAGGGCTGACCTCATCAAGTGCTGCGCGTGCTCCATGTCAAGCAGGACGTTAGATTATTTGACTTCCATCCTTTCCAGCTAACATATCCTACCGTGTGACTTCCACCAAACAAGAATGTAAGAGTTGTGGACCATGCTAAGCAACTTTTCTTAATCAGAAGGGCTTACAGAAGGCAACCAGGAAATTAACCATTGGATTCATGGGCAAAACTAGGGAAGAGGGCAGAAATAATACCAGCTCCCCCAAGCTGAAAAAGGTAACTGGTAAACTCAATTAATAGGCTCAACAAGAATAAAACCAGTGTTTTCTGTAAGATGATTCAGAACAGAAATATTAAGAAAGTCCCCCTGAACAAAGAGAACATATAAAAAAAAAAAAGATACAAAAGCAAGTAACTGTCAGAATTATATTAACATTTACTAATTTATAAAAATGTAAGACACATGCTTGAAGAACCAGCTGTAAGAAGCAGTAGCCTGCTTCTTACAGCTGTAGAAAATGAAGTTCAAAAGCGGGCAGGATCATCGGGTATATAAAAATACCAAAGCATTTTATGTCCCGATGCTTTGCATACTTAGATGGTAGGGAAAAAAAAAAACCCAACCAACCAACAACTTTGTCTTTCTCATTGATTTTTAACTAAGGCAGAGGCCCAGTAAATTATAGCTGTAATGAGAAATACAAGGGGAAGGTGATTCATCGTTGACATGCATATCACTGACATGGATTTTGTTTGATTCTGCTAATTGAGAATATAAACAAGAAACACTGGAATGCATTTGATCTTTTATGGTAGTTTAGTGCAGAATTGGCGTATGCTTTGACTCCTTAAAGAATTTTGTATTGGTAATAAATAAAATGTTGTGAAGAAGTGGTTATTTTAATCACAGACTAGTGGAATAAGATTAAGCAAATAACAGACTGATAATCATTTAGAATTCTGTGATGTAAACCTGATGTACCCACGTTTTGTTAAAGCTTTGATCTTTCTTCCAACAACATTTAATTTATAGTCTCTTTGTCTGAACACATTAATTTAATAGTAATTTCAATGCATTTCTTTGTGACTGTTCCAGGGAGAAGCAAAAAACCCCAAACCAATAAGATAACAAAATAAACAAATAAAATACTTTAAACTTTGCATCTAGGCTTGTGTTCCTGTCTTTTCCACATGAAAAATGTGGGGAATCCATAGAATTAAGTCTTGCTGGAGAACATCAGTGTTAGCGGACAAAGGACCTTCACAGGGCATATAAAAAGCGATGTTTTCTGCAGCTACTAAGGAGTTGCACCACTTTAATTTCCTTTCAAAAGAGAGTAAGTAAAACATAAAAATATAATGGAGACCTGGAAGATAAACCCAGAAAAGACTTATTGAAGAGCTACAGACTGTCAGGATAAAGCTGCATGGCACTGCATAAACTCAGCTGAAGGCTTGCTGCTGACAGAAGACAGTCCCACTCTCACTTATCACTCATGAATTGTTTGCATGTCTGATCATGGTGTTGAATTTGACCAGCAAACGCTCTTATAAAAAGCCCATGCTGGTGCAAGGAAAAGGCAATGCCTGTGCATTTGGGAATCAGCAAAAGACAGCAGAGATTTCTCATTGTCTCAGTTGTGGCATATAACTACAACTCTGGTTAGTTTCACTGCAAAAGGTTTGAATAATGAAGATATTAAGTAAGGTTAAATCTGCTACTGCTTAGCTTTAAAACCCGTATGACAATAATAAGTAATAAAGAACTATTCATGCCTAAAGCAAAATGTGTATTATTATCAAATTTTCAAGAACTAGCAAAATTAGATTTCGGACTACATTAAGGGCATGCAAATGGCACAACTGACATAAGTGGACTCCGCTAATATCAGCAGAAAAAATGATCACGTACTTCAAAAAGAACAAGCCCTGAAGTTTCTGAGTACAAAAGATGAGCTGACTAATTTACCACATGTTCTGGCAAAACTACAATGAAAACAAAACCAGTAACCACCTCAGAAAACCTTACCTGATATAGAGCACTCCACTTTGGTCCACCCGTCGCTGCCAACCAACGGGAACTTGCACTGCTGGTGGCCCTCCATCCGTGTCCCCTCCGTCACACTCCTTTCCACCATTCATTTTTCTGTTTCTGTTTATGAGTCTTCAAAGATATCAACAGTAAGATGATATCCTTTTACTACATATCATCATGGCCTCCCAAAGAAGGCCATTCAGTACACCTTTCCCCAAACTGTACAAAGTGCATTGGGAGGCTCCAGCTCAGTTTGAAACCAAGTCCTTAAAAGTGGCCATTTTTGTTAATGAGTCACTTTCCCATTATAATCCACATTAAATATGCAATGTTTAACTCCTTATATATTCATAAGGATGAACTATATAGATAAAAATTAGTGCTTCCAACTTGGGAAAATCATAATTCACCAATCCTTTGTTACCTGTCAGAAAGGAGAATGGGGAAAAGGAGAATTTCTAGTTCAACAGCATGGCTCCAAGCTTGATGACTGTCTAAGATAACTCGTTTTTTGTGAAAGCTTGTCTCATTTTTATAAATATGAGTCAGATCTAATACCTCCAGGTATTATACCCTTTATATGCCACATTCTTTTTGTTTTCTTTTTATCTTCCGTTCATTATCCAAGTTGTCTTCTGGAGTTTCTTTCATGACTCCCTGGCTCCAATAAAACAGCCTGAAAAATACAGATATAGAAAACACATGAGCCATATTCTGAAGTCTTTCAGCCCAGTTCAGTAACTTGGGAGGATGTATACAGCTGCATCCATTTAAAGAGCTTAGAATCAAAATTTTAGATGTCAATGGAACTATCAAAACAAGGTTTAGGGTGAATAAAATCCTGCTAGCATATTCTATTTATATGTGGATGCAACAGAGCTACATCTTAAAAGCTATGAGAGTGCAACTGTTACTAAATAGTTAATGTACAGTTTGGGTGAATTAAGAGATGTATCTTTTAACTGAATAATTTCACATATGCTTCTGTTCAGAATTATCAACAGATGACTAGCTCAATTAATGCCCTTTAAAATTTGTTTATAAAGCTGAATGAATCTAATGTGAAGGGAGATGGTTCTAGGATTCGTAATATCTATAAAAATGGAACCCCCCTGCATTTCGACTAAATTAATCATCTTACAAAAAATTGTATAATAAGGGAAAAGCCAGCATCAATGCACACTCTCAGAATACCTGTGAAGCAATCTTAATATCATAAGTAATAATTCCCTCCATATGACTATACTGTACAAGCAAATCTTCATGAAAGAAGTTCAGAATGATGTAAAACCTGGTGTTCCCCAAAACAGTTTTTCAAGTTGAGTTAAGGTGAGACTTAACTCTTGAGGTGGGATGTTTTATTAAGGCAAGACAAACATGGAATATGAAATTCAAATAGTAAATACTTAAAAAAAAAAATTTCCTAAAACTCAAATGTAAGATGGCACTGATGACTACTGTAATAACAACATTAACAGGCTTTATTTGGAATCTCATGTCAATTCTGTCTTATTCCTAATACTAATGTTATGCTAATATTTCAAAACATAGTAAGTGTTACTATAGACCTGACTGATTTTAATAAGGTTTCTCGAGGTAGAGATGGAACATAAATACTTAGGATCCTAAAACATTTCTGCAACAACAGTACCAACAAGACATTACATTTATATTGAAGTTACAACAGCTCCTTCCTTGAAGGCCACTAAAGGAAGAATACAGAGGCATAAATATAGTCCTCAAAAGTATTCCCGTAAGTACACTTATGCAGTACGTTCTTTTTAGACGTGTTACTTAAAAGTGTCAAGTTCAAAATGCTACATAAAGGAAAAAAAAAGGCCATAGTATTTACAAGAAGGGTGTGGACTAGAAAGGAGCTGGCTGGACATACCTCCTTGTCTAAGGCACTGAAATCTGAAGAAGAGTGTGATTTTCAGAATAATGAGTGTGATTTTCTGCAGGACGAAGCCTTCTAGAACAGCCTGGCACTGTTTTGCAAGGATCTGTTTCAACTTTCTTGTACTCCAGAGCACTCCAATAAGATATAACCCTTGGCCAGCCAAAATTGGGGAAGGGATGAGGAAACAATAATGAGATCCTGCTCGCTGACAACGGTGGGGTGACCGAGTACCAGCTGTGAGGTTATGGTGAATGTTCCTTGCTCTCTCTCCTGTGAAAACAATCTACCCTTTAATCTCTAAATCTGGTGCACAGAAATAGGATTTGGAGAGCACTTGGCAACAGTTCAGGACTCTCACAGGTATTCAGTGTGGAAGTTTTGGCATTTGATCGGTTTTATCCTGATTAAGAAGGTAGCAAATGACGCCTCATCAAAAGTAAGGCAGAATTTACCTTCAGGTTTCAGCATTATTGCTGAATGCTGCATCAGCATTTTTACTGTAGGTCTCGTGTAAGGCTGAAATAGGTACATAATTGCCCTAATATTTTTAAAGAGAATTAACCTTTTGTAATACAGTAAAATCAGAAAATACATATCTAAAATACTGGAAGCACATAGTGCAGAAAGCGTTGCTCGTCTCTTAGCCTAGTCTTGCTGTGGCTCATGTTGCTATTTAGAGCACTTGCGCTGGATCCATTACAAGAAAATAACAGCCACCAATTTCTTCTTTTGCACAAGCAGTGAGAGAGATGCTTTGAAGTAACCTTGTATTTCTACTGGTTCTGCAATGTCTTGCCTCAGCTAACGTCCCATTCCATCACAACCATAATACTTATCATCTAATCAAGATAAACCATTTTTCTGTACTGCATATAGCTTGAAATAGTACTAAAAGAAGCAAAATAATTCACTTTACTTCTTCTTTGGGAAATACTTCAGTATTTTTATTCAGTACAGTGAATTGGAATAAAAATCACAGTATGGTTTGGGTTGGAAGGGACCTTAAAGACAATCTAGTTCTACCCCCCTGCCATAGGCAGGGACACCTTCCACTAGACCAGGCTGCTCAAAGCCCTGTCCAACCTGGCCTTGAACACTGCCAGGGATGGGGCAGCCACAGCTTCTCTGGGCAACTTGTGCCAGCGCCTTACCACCCTCGCAGGGAAGAACTTCCTTCTAATCTAAATCTCCCCTCTGTCAGTTTAAAGCCATTCCTCCTTGTCAAATCTCTACATGTCCTTGTAAAAAGCCCCTCTCTAGCTTTCTGATTGGCCCCTTTAAGCACTGGAAGCTGCTCTAAGTTGTCCCTGGAGCCTTCTCTTCTCCAGGATGAACAAGCCCAGCTCTCTCAGCCTGTCTGAATTGGACAGGTGCTCTAATCCGTGGAGCATCTTCGTGGACTCCTCTGGACTCACTCCAACAGGTCCATGTCCTTATACTGGGGGTCCCAGAGCTGGACACAGTACTTCAGGTGGGGTGTCACCAACATGGAGTAGAGAGGAAGAATCCCCTCCCTTGACCTGCCAGTCTCAAAGCTGGTGATGCAGCCCAGGATTATGGTACGCTTTCTGAGCTGCTTCAATCACATACCTTCTGTCGAAGTTTATTATTTGCATCACTTTTTTCTTGAGGAGTACTAGAGACTAAGGAATTGTAAACTAACACTAGGATTTGAGCAATGTCAAAAATGAGAATGAATCAGAGCACAGGTATGATGATCCATTTTCCATTTTCACCCAGGTACAAAAATACCTCAAGTACCATGCTTACCATAAACAGAAAACAGTGAACTACACTATTCACATCTTCTACATTTGACCATTTATCTTGTAATTTACTGTGCTCCTATGCAAGCTGTGGTCTCTGAGGACACACCAATGTGCCTGTGTGCAATGAATCACATAAAAGGGGGCTAAGCCTTCCTGGAAGCCTCTTAGTACATGGCTAATCAGTGTGTAACTCGCCATGTAGAAATACATAGGTAACTGGCGTGTAACTAGTCATGTTGTATAGGAACACACTCATAGAAGTGAGATTTTTTGACTAAATCCCAGCAGGATTCTGTGCAGATTTCCAGATTTCCACAAACTGCAGGCAATAAAATACCCAGTACATCTGCTAACCATTGCACTTTTCTATCTGGCATTAACGGCAAAAGAAAGAGGTTGCCATTGATGGTTTGGTACTGAAATTCTTCACTAAACCACATGTACAGAGCTGCTATTTTATTTGCATAACACCATAGAAAAATTAAACATAGTACAAGTCTCTCCAAGAAGAGTTAAATCCTCTCAAATCCAATCCATCAAAGGACACCCTCTGCATTTCCCAACAACTGGTTTATCAACCAAGCAATAAAAAGGAGCTAAAGAAGACAGCAGTGAAAAAGAGGATGACAGTTAGGCTGGGTCTGGCTCTTTCTCACCTTAGTGCTGGCATAGGCTCCTTTTACAATATGTTTCATATGATAAGGCAGCCTAGATCCGAAGCTGTAAGTTTAAAGGGACAACTGGAGGGGACAGTGGCACTGCTCTATTAGATTTGGCAAAGTGTTCTGTGATTGAAAAAACATTTAAATCCCAGTAGGGATCAGCCTGACCGTGAATACTCTGACATTCAGAGCATCCATTTGACTATGATTCTATGCTTCTTATCAGTCCAGAACCTTCCAACTCGACTGCAGAATAATCTCATCTCTTGATGTACCACTTTACCCTTCTCCATCAATGTATTCTATCTGAAGTACTTCGGATTGGGATAGAATGTGTTTGGATTTTGGATCAAATCCAAAGTATTCTGGACATTGGACTCTGTCCAAATGCCTGATTTTCATCAACCCATGTAATAAATACCTCTTGTCTGTAATCTCATAACAACTCCAGACAACTCATGTTATCTCACCACAAGTAACACAACTTTCCACATCTAAATCAATTACTTCTTTTTCTGTGCGCCAAGACATGCCGTTTAGATTTGTTTTGCAGTCCAGTTTCATTACAATATGCTTAAAAATATTTCATTGGAGAACTATGCAAAACTATACTGAATTGTTTCCCCCCTTTAGATCCCTCAAGCCCTCCCTCCATGTCTCCTTAATTTTCATATGCTGAAAGCATGTTTTCAATTCTTAATGCAACTGTCTCAATTTTTGAAATGTTGCATTTTAGGAAGCTTCTTTGCACACTCAGCTCTTAATGTTTAACAATT